ATGATTTTGACTTCGTATTCGGTATTGATATAGAAATATCTATATGAAATTTAGTCATAACCTGTCAAGCAAAGAATTGAAGGTCAAAGTAACATTGGACTTGTTCTGTGGCTAGTATTTATTTGTTCTTTTTCTCTCGTCAGTTTCGTTGTCTACTCCTATGTTAAACAATTAATTCTTGAACTTAAATAGTCGTGCTATCTATTTATCAAATGGTTTCATACTGTTTCTGTCCACTGTTTCGATGATGGCAAAACACAGTAAATACACTAGTGATTTCAAACACAACGTTTTGCAACAATATCGTCCTGGAATTTACGGATGTGGGCTCAGATCATAGCAAAGCGTTTTAAAATCAAAGGTGGTCATAAATTAATTATGAGCTGGTATGCCAGATGGAACGGCACCGTTGAATCCTTGGAACCAAAATGGACAGATGGTCGACCACGTACTATAACAAAGGATCAAGTAACGGATTACATTTTAAATTTTGTCGATGAGATGAGCATGCAATACAAATCAGTGAATTACAGAATGATACAAGAACACGTTGAAAACTCATTAAATAAGCAAGTTCCATTGAAAACGATTCAAAGATACGATAGACAAGAATGTGGTATTAACAGCAAAAGAACTAAGGAGTTAACAACATGTGATAGTAAATATCCCAACTTCATTAGTAGTGGATTTGCTCATGGTCTTTTAATAACATTTTTTAATCTTAGTTGATAATAATTATAGACATGATATTGCGAAATTTTGAAGACGTTTACAAAGATTGGCTAATAACAGGTTAATATTTATCGATGAAATGCCGTTTATTGTAACATATATCCTCATCGAACTCTTATGGCACCTCAAAATCAGCCATTAGTTCTTGTTGAAAAACCATCTGCATACTCTCAACGTTTTGATTTAATTGGTGCCATCAATGGATCCCAATCAATTGCCTGTATGGTTTTAACACCCAATGACCGAAAAGCAAAAGGTTTTGAAGGCATCCGAAAACATGTAGTGAACGATTGGATTACGAATACATTAGCTCCAGCAATTAATGCATTAAATATCGACAATATGTATGTATTTAATTTGCGATAGAAGTCGAGCCCATCACAAAGAGAGTATGATGAAAGCATTGAAAAACGCGAAATGTAAATCGGTATTGGATATCTGTTTCATGCCAGCAGCTTCTGCTAAATACCTATCACCATTAGATAATCCTCTTTGGCATTCCATCAAGGAAGTTATTCGAAGCCATCACCCGCTTACAACAAGTAATCTTCCAACGTTACTCTCAGAGACTTTTCTTTAGCTATCGAAAAATAAAATCACAAGCGCATTTCGAAAATGTGCTATTACATATGGAGTCGATGTTTTTTATGATAAACCATTTTGATGATTAACCGACGTTTGAGCGCCCGCCATTTGAGCGCCGACATTTGAGTGCCCGACATTTGAGCGACCGCCATTTGAGCGACCGACACTTGAGCGACGGACATTTGAGCGACCCCGACATTTGAGCGACCGACGTTTGAGCGACGGACATTTAAGGGGTCATGAAGTGTACTAATTAAGAACAGTAATCGGTCCAACAGGCGTCATTTGGACACACGCGAAGTCACAATCCCAGGACGAGATAGGGCATCATACATTGTTATTTTCTGAGCACGATTTTCTGAGTATGACGAAAAGCATGCAGATGATAATTAGGGAAGCTAACTCGTTCATTCTTGACTGAAGAATCAACAACTCACGCTTCAACGATTCAATTATAGACAAATTAGAAACAGAAGCTTTCTTGATTCATATCCATGTGCCATCACGAAAATGACGCGAAACTGAATGATTTTGTTTCTTTGGTTCTGCTTCGTTGGCTGCAAGTCAGGCCTCTCTTACACACTTTGTTTTTCATATGTTATCTAACGTAATATAAAGTAAGTCTCATAGGTGCTCGTGGACATAGCGACAATAGAGCGAATCTTAGAAATAGACTTTTTTTAAAATAAGATTGGGCCAAGATCACGGCGCGAGTTTAAGAGTCCATCGCGATCGCGATGGGAATACAAGATTTTTTAGCGATCGCGCCGCGAGTGTAAGAGATCACAGCGATCGCGTCGCGACTTCGCGATTTTATAGCGATCGCGCCGCGAGTGTAAGAGATCACAGCGATCGCGTCGCGACTTCGCGATTTTATAAAGATCGCGGCGCGACAGACGCGAATTCATAGCGATCGCGCCAAGAATGAGGCGCGAACATTGACTTGGGTTACGAGCTATCCAATATGAAAAAAGTGTTTTTCCAAAGCCTTTCCTTCGCTTATAAAAGTCAATAAATAATGGAACGGCGTGACACAGAAAAAACAGAAAAAATCCAACGGAAAAATGATATTAAAGAGATTATAAATTTTATTCAAATATTAACCAAAAGTATTGGTTCGGAAGCTGTTATGTTGACAGATGGAAAACTTGAATAATTCTTATTTAAACATCGTTCTGAACATTTCCAACCTCATAACTAAAAGTATATAACAAAAAGTCATGGTTATGGAACGTTTATCGAGGCTAACGTCGTTTAATTGCGATTGTTTAGTGGTAGTAGTCGTGATCGAGGTGATCCATTTATTTTTACATTAGGTACTGGACAAGTAATCAAAGGATGGGATCAAGGCTTGTTGAAGAAAATAATATAATAAGAAAGCTTCTATCGTACGAATGTTGTTGTCGGTTGTTCAAAACAAAAACAAGAATGTTTGAGAACAAAATTAAATAGAAAATGAATAGTATTTGACTATTTATAGTCAAATCAGTTTTGTTTGACCGCTAATCTGACTTTAACCCTTTACGGTCGGGTGTTGACTACCGGTAACATCGATCTATTAAGTGTCGAAGGAATTTCGTTCTAAAAGAATACACTTTGCCGATCCCTGTCACAGCAAAACAATAAATGTAAAGGGAGGAATATTTTTATTAGTTAATTTTTGGCAGCCGACAGAAAAGGAATATGCACAGAAGGGGATATTGTTACTAAATGGCTTATGCAGCCGTAAAGGGTTAAAGAGTCTTTTCTAATGCGTCTCTTTCATTTTAACAGTTAGATAAATTTGCATTTAATCTCGACATTTTATGTCCTTTTCTTTTATTAACCAGTTTATTCTTCTCTTCTAGTATGTGTGTTGGTGAACAACGTAAGCTGGTAATTCCACCCGAATTGGGTTATGGTGACCGTGGTGCAGGTAAATCTATACCCGGCGGTGTAACTCTTGTATTTAATGTTGAACTGCACAAAATTGAGTGCTGCAAGTGGAGATCTTTAAAAACCGTCATTTAACAATATTCTCTAAAACACTAGAATAATGCCCTAAATATAATTTCTGACACTGTCCTCATAAATGTATTTGAAGTATTTGGTTAACTGGTAAATACATGAAAAAGTAAATATTTTCAAAATTGCTTACTTGTCATGTATTTTTACAAGTATTTCTTGTATTTTTAAATCTTGTAAATAAAAACAAGGCTTTTCAGAAAGAGCAAACTTCAATCTTCATGATGAAAATAATTCTTTTAGAAAACACCTTCCTATAGTTGAAAAATGAGAAGTTTAAATTGTGTAAAAGTTCGAAAACATTGAAAACAAACTGGAAAATTTAGTTCAGCATTTGATTCATCTCGTTCAATTATTATGAGATTACAGCATATCGCGCATGAGAAGAATTCTATAACAATAGGAATATTTAAATGAACTACTAAACGTATGGATGTATGTAAAGAGCTTTTATTTAGCAAGAAAGACTAGAGAAAAAGAGAGGGAGGGGTGTCGGTTTGACCGCTTAGGTTCTGTCCGACTTACGAATTTTTAGGCTGTGGGCGAGTCATCAACAGAAGTAGATAGAAAACAGTTTCAATACACAAATTACGTACATTTAAATAATTTAAACTTTTTGTACATAAAACGACAGATTGTGTAAAACAGATACAGATACAATTTAAGAACAAACCTACATATAAAAACGTTGCACTAGTATATTCTTGCGAAGACCTTAAACGATACTGACGCCTCACTCCTATTTTTTCTATTTACTATACATTACACAACTTATCGAAGAAAGTGTTCGGATCAGGAGAGAAAGACTTCACTAATTTTAATTTTTACGTCACTAAACTTCACTAAACTTTACTTCACTTTTAATTTTTAATTTTAACTTCACTAAATTTTCAGATCAAAAGTGTGCTCTTCAAAATTCACGACGGATTCAAGCCAATTCGATCGATCGTTTTTCTATTACAATTATTTTGTCATGAGGTCTAAAAGAAAATTTTACATAACGCGTTTCAGGCATTTCTAGTATAGCTGAACAACGATTGATCGAATTGGCTTGACTCCATGTTGACATTTGAAGAGCACGGTTTGATCTGCAAGTTGAGACGTCACTCATCTCTCCATGATATATCCTTCAAGTTGTATAATATGAACAAAAGAACAAAAATTGTAATGCACAGACAACATTACGCGATCATGCTGAGCATTTACCTTAAACCTGAATAATTATTGTTTCTTCCTCTTACTGACTACTGATTTAGATTTCAAACTATCGATTTCATCATACAAACTAATAAACATTTGATGACCATCGATTAAGTAACAATAAACATTATCGCTGTTTGTATAAAAACGAATGTTCGAATGAATTTATGTCGAATATGTTA